CGATGGCCTCCAACCCAATAGAGATGGCCTCCGACCTAATAGCAATGACCTCCAACCTAGTAGCAATGACCTCGAACCAAATAGCGATGGCCTTCAGCCCAATAGCGATGGCCTCCAACCTCATAGCGATGGCCTCCAACCTAATAGCAATGGCCTCCAACCTAATAGCGATGGACTCCATCCTAATAGCGATGGCCTCCATCCTAATAGCGATGGCCTCCAACCTAATAGCAATGGCCTCTAACCTAGAAGCAATGGCCTCCAACCTAATAGCGATGGCCTCCAACCTAATGGCAATGGCCTCCAACCTAGTAGCAATGGCCTCCAACCTGATAGCGATGGCCTCCAACCTAACAGCAATGGCCTCCAACCTAATTAGCGATGGCCTACAACCCAATAGCGATGGCCTCCAACCTAATAGCAATGGCCTCCAACGTAGAAGCAATGGCCTCCAACCTCATAGCGATGGCCTCCAACCTAATAGCAATGGCCTCCAGCCTAATAGCAATTGCCACCAACCTTTGAGTAATAGCAATGGCCTCCAACCTAATAGCGATGAACTCCATCCTAATAGCGATGGCCTCCAACCTGATAGCGATGGCCTCCAACCTAACAGCAATGGCCTCCAACCTAATTAGCGATGGCCTACAACCCAATCGCGATGGCCTCCAACCTAATAGCAATGGCCTCCAACCTAGAAGCAATGGCCTCCAACCTAATAGGGATGGCCTGCAACCCAATAGCAGTGGTCTCCAAAACTATAGCGATGGCCTCCAAACTACTAGCGATGGCCTCCAACCCAGAAGCGATGGCCTCCAACCTAGAAGCGATGGCCTCCAATCTAATAGCGATGGCCTCCAACCTACTAGCGTTGGCCTCGAACCTGCTAGCGATGGCCTCCAACCTAGAAGCAATGGCTTCCAACCTACTGCTATTCTAAAACATATTTCATTCAAAACGTTGAGTTCTGATTTTCTCCTCTGCCTGAAGCAAGGTCAGGCGGGCTTCACGAACCGGGCGAAAGCCTGGTGTGAAAACTTGTCCGAGTAAAACTCCACACTCCGCAGGACTCCGCAGGGGTTGGAGTCTGGAAGTTTCTGGAAGTTTCTGGGCCGGTAGATGTCGGTTTTCCTGCGTAGCTGCTCTTTTTGAGTGTAAGCACAACAAATCAATGCACTCGCGCCATGTTTTGAAGCAACTCCTAGGGCCCGTCCCGCGTGACACGGCGTGGCACGGCATCTGGGAGATGTCGGTTGTCGACTTAGTCGGAACGACTTAGTCGGTAGTTGCGTCCTCGAGCTCCCGAGAGCGGATCCGTGGCTGTCCAAACAGCGGATGCAAATGTGAAGAAAAGGGCAAACAGGAAGCTACTAGTAACAAGTGCCACGCTAGTAGTAACAAGTGCCTTACTAGTAGTAACAATGTTTGCTACTAGTAACAAGTAAGTTTTCTTTTCCTAATCGAACCAAATAACGTGAGCTATCCTGCGTCCCAGCTAAGAGCGAACTTCTTCCTTACTTAATCAAGTAGACGCCTACCATCGCCTACTTCTTATATAAGTAGGAGTGTGCAAAAAGGACAGGATGACCCAAAAGTATCAACACCGCCAGAATGTGGCCTCCGGATCTTCGGTGGTCTGCACACAGTACTAGCCTTGCATGCTTTGCTGAAAGCATGTAAATAAATTTTTTTCCGCTTGCATGATCTCCATCAATCTGCTGATTTTCAACTGCTTTTAGCGCTTTCAAACATGCGGGTGACCAATACTCGCTAGCAATGAGCAAGTCCAGCAGTTGCACCCGACTCCGCCAGGCATCAATCGTGCTCGGCCTGGTGCCGCACCGCACGAAAGGAACACGAAGACGACGAAGTCGGCTGGTAAAAGGCGACAGCACGAATTGTCAAATGACCTGTCAATCGCCTTCTTTAAAAAAAAAAGCGAACACAGCACCACACCTCAAAGGCTCCCCCCAAGTGAAGACCGTTCCTTAGGAGTTTTCCGAACAGTACGTACGTGGTAAGCAGCCGCTACAAGTGGTGACAAGTGCAATGAGCAACAGGCGCATAGTGAGGAAAGGAGCATTTCTTCGAAACTGGTTGGCCAAGGACGCTACTAGTAGCTCCTGGCATCACTTTTAACAAGCTACTAGTAACAAGCTTCATCGCTACTAGTAGCGTCCTTGCTAGTAGTAACAAGAAGCTTCTAGGAACAAGTGCATCGCTACTAGTAACAAGTGCCTTACTAGTAATAACAAGGTTCATCACTACTAGTAGCGTCCTTGCTAGTAACGATGCCTTTTGTGTTCGTAGCTAGCCTTTTCGCCTTTTCCAGCTCCAGCCTCCCCACTGCGCCCGAGATGCGCAAGCTTCGACACTTCTTCTCGTCCAAAGCGTCCAGCAGCGATGGGCTCAGTTCAGCTTCGAAAACTGCTAAAACTGTAGCTTCAAACAACTTCTATTAAACACATTGTTGTCCAAACACATGTTAACACATTGTTACCTTTGCTATTAGCTTCTTGTTCATTGTTCCTAGTAGCGATGGCCTCCCTACTTGCGATGGCCTCCACCTAATAGCGTCCTTGCCACTAGCAAATACTTTCATCTTCTCGTCCTTGTTGTGCTCAGTTTGGCCTTCTTGGGGCCCAACACAAGACCTGCCACCGTGATTTGCCTCTCGTTGATTGCTCGCGCCACCTCACGACTGGTAAGCTTTCTATGAACTACGTGTTTGGACGCAAGTTTTCTCCCTTACTTTGAATACGGGATTTATTCTAACATTCATTGTATTTCATGTTGTGCTTCGATTCTCACACATCCATCATGCACTGTCTAGGGTAATACACAAAGACTCCAAAAAATCTCAGTCTTCTCCGCACCGTCCGCACCTCGCTCACTCCGTGCTGTGAGACAAGAACCAAGCAAGCGCCACAGGACCAAGGCAAATCGAAAAGCCCAAGGCCTTGGACTCGAACCCTTTTTCAGGCCCAAGCCGCCCCAAGGCTCAAGCCGGCCCGAATCTTTCCTTCAAAAGTGTAAGAAGGCCCAAGCGTTTGTGTTCTTCTCTTTCGTCTTTCTTCCCTTTTTCACCCTCTTGTCCTTATTCAACCGCATTTTATATCATTTTATGATGAACACACATTGTTCAATGCCGACATAGGTGGCCATCAACTTTCTTCCGAGGCACAAGTTGCTCCCCAAAAGGCTGAAGTGTGATGCAAAATGCGGTCCTCGCCGAAAGCACGCCCGACAGAAAACGAGAAAGAAAGCAATGGCCCTTGCTGAAACACTTTGTCGCTCTGTTGACACTTTTGTGTGTACTGCCAAAAGCACACTCCTCAAACAATGCAAGGACCAAAGCTACAATACTAGTCTCAGTGCCCATGGCAACGTTAAGTCATGTCTCCTGACAAACAAACAATTAAAAGCTTAGCACAACTAAGACATTTACAGCATTTTGCTCTGAGGCATTTGGGAGAGGTTCTTCGGACCAACGCAATTTGTGTCAGCTTCTCCTAACTTTGGTTTGGCGTTACAAGCATGAAAACAAATGCAAAGAAGTTGCAAAATAGCTCCGTTTTTTGGTTAGTTGACCTAGCACTCATTCTGGAAGGGAGTTGCCAAAGGCAAAGCGGAAGAGCAATGGAAGAGAACTGAAGGACATGCGGAAGAAACTAGGAGGGAAGACCAGGAGAGCTTTAGAGAGCGGGAATAGGCTAAGCCTTCTATAGTCCAGTCTATAACATTTGAAGTACAGTAAGACTTAGCAAGCTAGTAAGCTCATAGAACTGCACTTCCTGGTGCTCGGTACAAACTGCTCCAGGGATTCATTCTGAGCCCGCCCGATGTGGGCAACAAGTGCTCTCGCGCTCTGATCGGAAAAGCACTCTTGTTTCTTCTAATAGCGTTCTTGTTACTACTAGTAAGGCACTTGTTACTAGTAGCGATGCACTTGTTCCTAGTAGCTTATTGTTCATATAGCACTATAGTGGACTACTCTCTACAATTCATCTAGCTTCGTAGGCTTGCAGAGTTTCGCATCCTGCTGGGAATGCCACGCTGGCATCTCTACATGTCTTGGCATGAGATGAAACAAAAGCACAGAAGCACAGCAGGAGAGAGGAAGTGATTGAAACTGATGGAAACAGGAGTAAGAGTGCTCTTTCTGTTTGAAACACACTCTTTAATACTCTTTCTTGCCGTCCTCGCAGTTCATGACACCAAAGTCCTCATAGGCTCTCAGCTCATGCAGGGCCATTCCTGGAATTTCTGCAGCTAGATTCTGAGAGCCAAAGAATTACAAAGATTCTGAAGTGATGACAAAGATTTTGAAGGATGGGAAAGTGACAGCAAACTTTCTAGACTGTCAGGGTTGACTTGGACCATTTGCAATCTACCACCTGCAAGTTTTACACGGTAGTATCTACCTGGACTGAGATGATGTACCAAAGGGCGCTGAACCTTTCTTGGTGCTACCAAGGGGCTGTGCGTTTGTACCACGCATTTTGAGGCAGCTGTGGTGCCGCCTGGATGCAAATGTAACAATTTCTGGACAATGCAACATGATGCAACATGTATCCTTTTATTCCGAGATCTCCTGAGCATCGGAGATATGTTTGCACCCGATTTCAATCCTGTTTCTATCACTTTGCATATGAGTAATTAGACCCAAAATAACTAAATGGCCTACTCAAAAGGTTGACAGACCAAAGGAAGAGGCGTGGACTGAGTAGCAAGGCTTTCATTAAGTGCTGAACATGTGATTCAGAAGCGAAGCACGCCAATCTTCACCACAATGTTGCAAAACACCGTCCCCGCTCTTTCTGCACCTGTGTAGACCAAGTACAAAGTGTCGTCTAAATGCCGGAAGCGTCTTTGCTCGAAAGGCGCCTACACAGATTAGTTCAGCAACTTCTGGGCACCGAGTTAAACTCATAGCGATGGCCTCCAGACTAATAGCCATGTGCCCACACACGTTTCATACGCATCTCGTACAGCTTCTCTCCCCGCATCTTCTCTCCCTCTGCAACTTTTTCTCGGTCTCTCCTTTCTCTGCTTCCACCTCCGCCTACATTCTGTGTTTCTGCAGTTGGCCACTTTCACAAATTTTGCTGATGCACCTACGTATGTGTGTGACTACAGCGGACGTCCTTGTGGAGGCTTGTGAACTCAAAACAAGAACCGCAAAGAAGAAACAGAGCAAAGAAAACAATAAATATAGATAGAATTAGTAGCAAAGGACGCTACTAGGGGCTCCTGGCATCGCTACTAGGAGCAAGGGCCTTACTACTAGGAGCAAGAAGCTAGTACTAGTAACAAGTGCCTTACTAGTAGTAACAAGAAGCTAGTAGAAACAATGGTGGAGAGCAGCAAACCGTGAAACTGGTGAACCATCGAAGGCGGAACCCCCGTGGAAATCGAGCCTTGGTCATCAAGAGATCCTCCACATAAGCCAAGGGTACACCAGCTGACCTTTTGGTCTCAAATGAACCAAAAACAACGAAAAACAACGAAAAACAACGAAACAAAGCACTTTCTTCAAAGACTGCGTCGCGAAGTTCCGCAGTTCACGACCAAGGCCCAAGCGGAGCTGAAACCCCCTTCCCCAAGACCAGAAGCCTGAAACATCAAGCATCAAATTGCATTGACGTACGAATTCATACTACATATAGACTATCTATCTATCTATCTATCTATCTATCTATATCATTGTTGATCTATGTTTTAATTCGATTTTCTGTTTCTTCGATCTTCTCCACAGTGCCCGCCTGGGGCGATGCTCTGCAATGGCCTCCTGGTTCCGCAGCACCTTGGTGTGTAGACAGTGCATGTTGTAAGAAAACTCTTGCAAAAAAAAACATACAAATGGGGTCTTGATCTTCTTCTCCAAAGTATGTTTATCACATTTCTTGAAAACCCTCACCAAGCCTCATCCTCACTGCAAAGGTCGCAGCTCAAAGCCAGCCTTGACACACAGTTCAAGTAAATCTTCATTCCGTTGGGACGCGAGCCATGGCGAGTGTCATCCACGCTCGAGCCGCTCGCCATCTTCGGCCGAGGCACAGTGTTCCCACTCGTATCGTGGCCACACAGGCAGCCAGCCAGGCACATGTGCGTGGAAGGAGCAAAGCAACCTGAAAGGTCTTTGGCAGAAATGGCTTGGGGAAGGTCTTTGTGTTTCATATTCGTTCAGGTCATCATCTCCAATCTGATCTACTCGAACTTAAAAGGACCACTTTGAACGAGACTCCGGCAATCGGAGGATCTGCACCTTTGTCAGAAATGTGCTTCGATGTGACTTTGACACTAACATTAAACTATGCATTTTGGTTCACCAAGCAGAGTAAGAGTTTTATGCGTCATTTGGTCTATCTCGAAACATCACAATGTGCTGTGGTATCAGGTTTGTTGCAATACCCTTTGTTTGTGCATCGCTTGGTGGATGCAACACACTGACAAGCATCTGCAACACCGTAATGAAGAAGGTTGTGACTGGTGTGACATGCCTTGTCCAATGTTGGCCAACATGCCCGCGGCAATGCGAAAGGATGCCTAGCTTGCACCAGGAAGGCGTGGCGAGAACTCGTCAAAGGGAAACACAAAAAATTCCTATGATCCTGCGTGTGTTTTGGCTGTTTTAGAATGCATTCAACATCTTTCGATCAAATCCGCTTTCTGTTTGTCCTTTCTGGCGGCCTCTTGAAGCTCTCGATAAGTCCAGCAAGTCTTGACATCGTCCTGTTGCTGTGGACTCTCGGTGGGTAGCAAAAAGTTTGGAAGATGGAAGATGGAGGACGTGTTTGCAACGACACGATTTTTCGGACGTGTTGCTTGCCAGCGGAGTCTTGACATCGTGGCACTTCGTTGGAGAGACTTTGTTGCGAAACCAAAGGCTTTGAGATGCCTTGAGCCAAACTCCATCCAGGGTCTTTCTGGCATTGCAATTCCTTGAGGCACATTCTGAGCACATTTAATTTGATTTTTTTGGAACATTTTGTTGAGAACCAATCATCCGCCCTGCTTGCACTCTCTGTTTCCTTCGGGCTCCTCTGCATGCCTCTGTTTGTTTGCACTTTGTGATTTTGGCATCAAAAAATCCTTGCCACCGAAGAAGCTTTCTGAAAACAGCTTTTGAGCCACAACCATCTGGAGATCCTCTTTTTGCCGCATCTAGGTGTGAAGGAGAACGAACAGTTCATTTGCGCTTTTTTGTCAAGGAACAAACCTTTTCCAGAGCAAAAACACATCGCATTCCTCCACGGCAGGTCGGCTGGCAAACTTCTCGACCAACATGTCGAAGGCCTCGACGGACTCAAACAGCTCGCTTGAAGGAGACTAACAAATTCCAGCTGACTTTGCCCAACCTGCATGCTAGTTTGCATTGAAAAAGCTCTTCTCTCCTCGCTCTCCTTTGCTTCGGATTGAAACATTGAAACACTTTGGAGCCTCATCAAGGCTTGCGGCTTCCATCTCCTAGAGCGAGGAACTGGCTGTCAACAAACCGAAAAGTGCAACGGCATGATTGCCCACAATCAAACCGACCCAAACCGATAAGGGGTCCTTGCAGGGCATATCTGTGCAGTGGCGCTTCGCAGCAACTTCTGGGGCCTCGAGGGAAGAAACACAGCAAATGTGCAGCCTTGCCACAAAGTCGGTCAATGTGAACAAAGTCTACAAGTCTGTCAGTGTGAAGTACTCTGAATGGCCCTTTGGCTGAACCTCTGCTGGCCGCTTCATGCATGCAGCTCCTGACAGCGTCACTTGGCCATGTGTCCGGAGAGAAACTATTTCAAAGCAAACCTTCTGCAGCCACCGCCGCATCAACCTTGAGCAAAACAATGAACAACACACAACACACACACACACATGTACAACGCATGTTCAACACATGTACAACTTGCTGCCATTTATTTGGAGTTTATCCTTTTTGAAGAAAAACTAAAGCATCGGGCTTAGAAATGCCGAGGCATTCCTCCGGAATGGGAATCTCCACTGCGGGTGTCTACAAACGTTGTTTCCTGATCTGCTTGAAACACTTCAGCGAACATTCCATGCTCTCGTCTCCTCCGAACTGGGAGGTGCTTTGGAACTGTAGTCTTTGTAGTCCTTGTTTAGACTTTCTGAAAGCACAAATACATTGCAATTGCTTGTTCTCGCCACCCAGCCATCTGACAGGTGACTTCTTTGTTTTTCATCAAGGTAGGAGTTGTGAGTTGTCCAAGCATTGTGCCCGATGCGTACTTGACTTGTTGCCAAGGTTCCTTTTCCCCTCTATCTACCACAGGTTTCAAGGTTTGAGTTTGTGGTTTTGCTCTGATTCCCTTTCTTGCTTTTTGTGCAGCTCTGTCTTCGGTCGGAGCCAAAGTCGAAGAATCGATCTCAGAAAAGTCGTTTTAGCGGACCCTCAACCCGCTACTTATCAGCCTTGCCCTTAGATTTCCTCCACCTTCTTATCAGCATTGAACAAGTCCGTCCCTGTTCTTTTTGCCCCTTCGGTTATTTCCTGTCTATTTGTTTCTTTTCTTTCATTTCAACGTGTCTCTTCAAAACTCAACCACCTCTCCTGCGGCAACGCGCTTTCTTCGCTGACTTGTGGGTGAAACATCTTGTGGTTGTCCACGGCACATGCTACTTTGGCCCAATAGGTATGCGGCTTATGCAATCGAAGCGACTTTATTGTGCTATCTATTGAGAATAGTCTTTTTGAACACCGAAGGGGTCAGAGCATCTTGAGTTTTTTAGCGCCCTCTCCCTATCAGCTCTAAGGCTCTAAGCCCTGTCAGCCCTCAGCGCGCCGTGGGGGTAGCGCACGAGGCCTGGACATAGGGCAACCAAAAGAAAGCGTTTGGGAATTAGTTATCTCCGCCCTTAAGGGGGGCCGAAGTGAGCATAATAGTATCAGTAGCGGGTGGTAGTGACGTGCAAGACAGGCATTTTGCCTTTCAAAACAAGAGAACGATAGAGGAAACATGGTTTTGGCAGGTTTGCTTTGCAAAGAAATTATACATCAACGAGAAATGATTTTGTGGACATGCAATGCCATGCGTTCTGCGTGCTAGCAGTGCTGTTAGCTCCCCGTCATCATGTGAACAGGGTTCCGGCTGGGTGCAAACTCTCCTGTGTCGCCCTTCGGACATGGTTTGCTAAATTTGCTATTAGAAAGCTAAACAAGCCAAACCGAGGTCAACCTAATAGCGATGGCCTCCAACCTACTAGCAATGGCCTCGGACTCCAACCTAATAGCAATGGCTGGTCTCCAACTCAATAGCAATGGCCTCCGCCTACAACCAAACAGCAATGGCCTCAAACCTAATAGCAATGGCCTCCAACCTAATAGCAATGGCCTCCAACCTAATAGCGATGGCCTCCAACCTAATAGCAATGGCCTCCAACCCAATAGCAATGGCCTCCAACCTAGTAGCGATGGTCTCCAACCTACTAGCGATGGCCTCCAACCTAATTACTAGCAATGGCCTCTAACCTAATAGCAATGGCCTCTATCCTAATTGCAATCTTAGAACCTTCTATGCTAGCACAATTACATGGAGGAAGTGCAACAAGCGAATGCCACTAATTGGTTTCTGAATGCCTTAATCATGGCTGGTTGTTCCCACATTTAATCGCTGCCAGTAATGAACACCAGTTGACCGGGTAACTAACGTTGAGGTCGAAAGGAAGTACTCGATTAGCCAGGACAAAACTTTTGAACCACTAAACGCCCAATGGGACGCTGCTGCACACCACGTCACCACATTGCACTTCACGGTAGACTTTACAACTTCACGGTAGACTAGTCTTCACCACTCCACAAATCACTGAACACTTCAGGCACATATCAATTACCACCACATCAAATAACCAGCTTTATCGCATCAAATGTCACCAGGCATTGCATCAAAACCTTTTGGATTAAGCATACAATACATCAATATACATCATACATATTCAAACATCATATCATATCTTCACAATGCACATCCACATCACCTCGACACCGACACCCAGCTCTGAGCTCTTGGACACTTCTGGCTGTCGCAGATTCTTCATGATTCTTCGCATCTTCGATTCGCATTCGCCGCGATCGCCCAAAACAGTCTTTGATCTGAGTCCGCAGCGCGTACATCAAATCGGTTTTTGATGGGCCCATGCGAACTGGCCTGGAGTTCGAATGAATCGAACAAAGTCCTTCTTCCTTCTAGCCACGCCATCCGACACTTTACATATTGTGATATCATGTACAGTCTGGAAACTTTATGACCAGGCGAACAGCAAGGACTTTGCCGCACCTTCCACCAGGGACTTTGCCGGGTGGCACGCAGGGCAGCACGCAAGGTCGCCTATGGAAATGGTCTCTCGCTCTGTGGCTGGCAGTCTCTCGGAGTATCGTTACTTCATGTTACTTCAAATGTGGAACGCAATCAATGCATTTCAATGATGTCAGTCTGCTAAGGCATCAGCACATCGTCACCTTGGTGGGGTCTCGAATATCACGCTCCGCGAGTACAAATCAAAGGGGACGTGTTACTTTGATACGCAGGTCCACAGTCCACAGGGTCGCGTGTCCCGTTGTGTTGTTTGGTCGCCCATCGGCCTGGCTCTTCCGCGATCCTCAGCAATGGAGCCCGACCTGGACGGTTTGTCGGAGAAACGAAACGAAAAACAAAAGAGCTCGTCCTTGTTATCTCCTAGGAACAAGGACGCTACTAGGGGCTCCTGGCCTTACTAGTAGTAGCAAGGAC